ACCCTATCTAAGGACCACACCAGGGACACAGAAACAAAAGGGTAAAAAAAGATACCCTATTTAAGGACCGAGAACCTCAAAAACCATACCCTATTCCACGGCACGTACCTATATAGCCCATATATGGGAGTACCCACCCCCCCGGGTTGTTACCTCTATTGAAGGAACACACTCTGCTAAGGGAATAGGACACTTTTTCTGGGCCCCAAAACCTGGTTTAACCTCCATTCAAGAAAAACCTCTGAGACCAGGGTACCATTCAGGGGACATCTAGCACTCAAAAAGTGACTGACCACAACCGACTGTTGACTGTTGATAAGTTTAAGTGTTCACTAATCGCGCCAAACGTTTATTACTGCCCGGGTAGGAGGGGGGTACAATTTTCTAAGAGGCTTGATTTGGGGGGGGTCAATTTTGAAAATGCAAAAAAATACACTTTGGAGGTTCTTTCTCAGCGACAAAATGTTACCCGTATAAAGCTCGCCCCAGGAACCTATCAGCTATTTCTCCTACCAGGAATGTAGCGTGCATGTACGCACATACGCCTATGCATACAGCCGAAATCTTGAAAAAATGTATAGATCTTTTTTATTTCCTGAAAGCATTTTTATCATCAAATCGGGATAAATATTTCGCATTATGCTGGTATTTTTGCGTTAGGATTTCCTTTATCCTTTTGCTGATTAAGTGGATTGAAATGGATCCGAATGTGAAGCCACAGACCTTGGCTGAGACTTTTGACCAAGCCAATTCCAATTCTATCACGGATGTATGTCACGGCTCTCATAACTTTGTTGACTTATCCTGGGTCAACATACACAGCTGAGAGTAGCTTGTACACATCTCGCCCTTTGCTTGTAACCTCCTTGATGGCGTCACTGTTTTACCCCCTTTCGCCGTTAACAATGTACCTTACCTATAACACGAGGATGGGTAAAATAAACAACTAATCACTGCATTTTTCTTCGTTTTTATTTACTGAGAATGTACTGCAGAAAACGCAGGAGATGGCATTTCCGAGACCCTAAATTTAAAATTTTTCTGGGGGAGCATGCCCCCAGTCTCCCCCAGGTTTGGGGCACCTTTGGGGCGCGCTAACTTTTCTTCCCCTTCGTGCACCTTCAAAATCTCACGCTACGCTGCTCACTACTGGTATCTTAAAGCTTATGAAATCAATGCCCAAGGATGGAAGAAGAGACTTGGTCTAGAGGGGTTGGAGAAGGGCGGAGGGGGGAATGCACTTTAAAATTTTTATTACCAAGGGAGGTATAATTTTCATAAGTAATTATTTTGGGGTGGGGGGCAAAGTTTTGATACACCACACTTTTCTGAAAACCCCTGCCCCCATCTGAGACGCAATAAACGATCGGTCCCTTAACGTATTACGAAAGTAAGGATTTTCCTGATTCCTCTCTCTAGCACATTTTTGCATCCGAAATTTTAGGTTTCCTTTTATTTTATTCCACGAAAAATAGCCCAACCTGGGTAAACTTCAGAAAATTGTAGGGAATTTATAAGACAAGCTTCGAAAATCTTACATGAATGGAACGGTCCCCTAGAAATTTTTAGCCGTCCTCAAGTAATAGAA